AGCCTTAAATTCGTGGGTACTCTCTGAATGCTATTTTAAGGTGATGTACGGTATGTGAGTGTGTGTGTGTGTGTGTGAGTGTCAGAAGTGATACCGAGACCATTTTCAAAACAGGCTAGCCAAGAAAAGATTTCAACCTTCTTAGCTTCTCTAAATTTCCCCTTCTACTTTTTGCTTCCGCGAAACGCCTGCGAGAAAAACTCGGAAATTTTCCACAGGAGCCTTTTCGGGCCGAGGAAAAACGAAGAAGGCCCGGTTGCTATGGAGACGCCCGCGCCTAAAGGCTGGCCAATGCGAGTCGGGGAGGGGGGGGGAGAGGCGGAGCTCGTGCCCTCAAGGCCGCCTGTGGGAGACCTTCCAAGATGGCGGCAATGTAAACAAGAACCGGCGGTAAGTCAGACTGGGAATTTCAGTGATTTTTTTATTTTTTGGGGGGGGGGGGGCGCACGACAACTCTATGGTTTTAGGGAACCAGGAGACTAAGTTGCCAAATAACCAAACCGGTTAAGGCAAGCGGCGGCTTTGCACAGGTTTTGGATCCAAGCCGTGTGGTGGCAAGCCGCGGGTGCGCAATACGGGAAAAGATGACCCCCGGCCGACGCCGACTTGTTCTGAAGGCAGCACCTTAGAGGCGGATGGCGTTCCTTTTCCAAGTCTGAAGCGTGCTTTGTGACGAGAATCCTCGAGCTTTGTCCTCCCTTTTTCTTTCCCCCCTGGTTTTCCTTTGCTTTTATTGATTGGTGAATGTGTTGGGGGCCATTCAAAGGCCACCGGTGGGGGGTTCGAGCAAAAGCCGCCAACGGTAGTTTGGGGAGGGGGGTAATTGCGTTTAGCTGAGGCGATGGTTGTGCTGCTGTTGTGTAAAAGGAAACTTGATAGAACCAGATAGACATCATCTCCCACAGCCTCGGGTCTCCTTAGCATTTCATACTGATTGCAGAACATTTTGCGTAGATATATTAGTGAGGGATTTAAAAGAGTGGGACAACCATAAACTGCATAGGTTAAATCTAGAAGGAGGTGCAATCCAGGTGCTAAACCATTGAACACCATAAGGTTTGCTGCAATATACGAAACTCTCTTTCTGTGTCTCAATCATAGTGTAAGATTGGTCAGTAGTAGAAATAACTTATAAACAAAGTGCGTAATGGAAGAATGTACACTTGACCATGACTATTTTATAATTTTGGACCAACACCTGTTGCAATGAATGACAGAGTGGTTTGGGAATAAAAAAAGGAATGGTGGTAAACACTTTACTTTTCTGCTTTGAAAACATTAAGGTGTAATCCCATGAAATTAATGTTGCAGAGTGATTGGTTGATGGAGGAAAAGGAGTTTTAGCTGTACTTATTCCATACGAGCATGTTCGCTCCAAAAACAGGATCCCGCACCTGCTTGATACCTAGGTGTAATAATGCTGGATTTATATCTCGGTTTGCCCTTATAATGAGATTTGAGGCAAAAAAGATAATGTTCTTGTGTGAAGCAGGATAGGCATCTTTATATTCAGGCGTTGCTTTGCTGCTGAAATCTTCATCGGATAATGTGGTTTTGTAATCTATTGTAATCTGTAGTTATCCTTTATAGGATTTAAAAACATCTTGAAATTCTAAACTGGTAAAGTTGATTTTTTTTTCAATGAAGCATCAATAAGCGTATATTCAAGTTGTGTACCTATCAGAGACTCTTGACAATAATATAAAAAGTGGTGAATAAGAAAACATAAAATGACAAAGGTGATAGTTTTGTATTGTTTCACTGTTGTAAGTATACTCAAAGTTAGGGACTATCAAGGTTCAGCAATAATTTGATATACGTTTATCATGTTTAGTATCATGTTGGGTTTAAGTTTATTCTTAGTAATGCTACACATGTGAGCAATGCTAACAATTAAAAATTCCATTCAGAAGTAGTAGACATCAAGAGTAAAATGTGTTTCATATTATGGAACAGAATAGGAAAGGATTTTAGAGCTCATCTAGTACTACCTCCTCAGTGCAAGATCCACTAAAACATCTCTGACAGGTGACTATCAAGCCTCTTACCTGGAGATCTCTAATCTATCTAGACTGCACCCTAATCTTATTTTATTAAAAAATTACCAGAATTTGAGTTTTTTTTAAATAAAACACATCTGTTTTTAAAAGACTAATAAGAAAACCAAAATGTAGAAATAAGTAAACAGAAAAACATTGCCGAAAAAATAAGGAATGGATAAGTAATTCAAAAGAAAATACACAAAATTTTAGAGAGTGGGGCATGGTATTTGTTTATTTGTTGTATTTACATAGCACCAATTTTAACAGTTCATAATAGTCCACAATAAAAAATAGGGCAATAAAATAAAACTGATAATTCATAAAATAAAATAAAAATTGTAAAAACAATATAATACCTCATCTGTAAGCACCATCAGCATAAGTAACCTTAAATATTCAACGCCATGTAGAATGAATTGTTATTTTACAATTTGGATTAAAATCTCTACCAGTGTAGTCTGAAAAAAGCCATTTTACAAAGTGACTTCCATAACTGAAAAATATTCCCTTCAATTTCATCAGATAACTCAGATGAATACAATGGATAGCATGGTTTTTCCTGGAGAAGATGGTCCTGATGGAACCCAGGTACCAAACCAAATTGAGCTTTAATGGTCTGAACCAACACATTAACCTCATAAACTACCAGCAACCAATGCAATTTCTGCAGTATTGGTATAACATGATACTGGTAGGCCATCATCTACCAGTATTTTGCACCAAATGTTTTTGAGTAATTTTCAAAGGTTTTGCTATATTGAGCCCTTTGAGATAGTCTAGCTTGGTGGTGATAAGGCATGGCTACTATCAGTGGTCTCTTAATCAAGACATGGCTACAACTGGAACATCTGCTGAAGCTCGATATAGGCCTACCCGGCCATATTCTGTGTCTGCCCAAAGAATTAAAACTTTGCAGAAGAATATCCCCAGATATTTTTCAGGAAGAGTGCCATACCATTCAGAATTATAACTGAAAGAGATTCAGTTTTAAAATAGCTTTCTATGTTCATAGAACAATATCATAATATTATGATGATATTTTCCTTTCTGAATTTTTTGTCATCTTCCATATTTTTGTACCACATATATACATTTATGTACACATAAATTGAAGAAGGACATCCATAACAATTACAGAATATGTTTTGTTTGAAAATTGGTCAATTATAAATACATCTAGGGAAAATATGCAATTGCCAACTTTTATAAATGTAAAGACCATAGCCCACCTTAAAACCTATTTATGTATAACATTTAACATTTCTGTACTATACCAAATGCTTTACAGTACATTTGAAGATCAAAATAAAATTTTGTTCTTCATAACTTGAAAATTTTCTCCTTTAGGAAGTAGGAGATAGGCTTTTTTTAGAGGTAGTGCTATTGAATTGGAAATTAGTTATCTTCTTCCAAGGAACTGCTAAAGACTTTTGAAAATATCAGTAAATAGTTAGCATTCAATTAATTTACCTTTTCAGTTACTTTTAATTTTAAATATATAAGCCATGTTGCTTTTTTCTTATTTATATTTCATATTTTTATTGTATTTTTTATCTTTTTTCTTTCTATTATAGAGTAACAGTTTATTCACAAGGTTGAGCTTGGATAAATTTTGTAGTGCACTGTGTGTAATCTTGTTAAATAATCATAGCGAATGTGCTGTACATTTATTTAGTGATTTCAAATGCATTTGAGTGTGCACTTTCTTGTACCTCCTCTTTTTTTAAAAATGTATAATATTCAAAATATTTGCTAAAACAACAGTACAAACAAATAACTTATGTACTATTATCACTTAAATTACTTGAGCACATACATACACTATATTGCCAAAAGTATTCACTCACAACTGCTTCTGATTATGTGGATGGGTGAGCGAATTATTTTGGCAATATAGTGTATTCTAAAAATAAATTGTAGGAACCATTAGTGGACATTAATGTCTTTTTCAGCTATTTAAATGAAGCACTGTTATTTTTGTAATTCTGTATTTTCTCAGTCCTTATACAGCTAATTTATTCTCATATTCAATTTCCAATAACGAACAAAAATATTTTCCAATAATGAATAAAAAACTATAATGGATCAAATTTTCTTGCTCTCATTTTATACTGGTAAAGATGCCCTAAAGATATTTTTAATAATTTTGCTGAAGATGCCTTTATGATAGTAGCGAGTATTTGATCTTTTCATTTTTAGAGATGTGGAGTGGTCTGCTACCTCCTGGTGTGAATGAAGCTGATGTTGCCATAAGTTCAGATGACGAAGAAACAGTGTCTCTTACTGAGAATATCTTAAATGAAAAACAAGAAGAAAAGAAATTCCTAGACAAACAGGCTTGTGATCATGAGGGAAAAAATATGGCTGAAAACCAACTTCCTTCTACAGAAGAACAGGAATGTCTGGCATGCCTTCCTGGAGTTTCCTTAGATATGTGGAATGTAGGTTTGTTTACAACTCTGCATTTAATTGAAACTGAAATATTAGGTTAGTTATTCCTGTTGTGATATCTAGGGATGTAATCCTTCTGGCAAGAGTAAATTAATTCTGTTTTGGGTGAAATACAATCTTTTAAAACTTTTCAATTATAGAGAAGAAATAGTTTAATAACATTGTTTGACAAACTTCTGTCTTAAAGTAAGATAGGAAGAAGTTGTGATGAATACCCTTTCACCAAACATGTAGGCATGCTTATATACTGGAATATTTTTTCAAAATCTTTTTTAGGGTTTTCAAAATTGATTTTGTCTTTTGTCCTTGTGTGTGTATCTCTCTAGTTATGTTATGGAATTCTTAACTTGCTCATGAATGATTACTTATTATCTTTATTAAATATATTTCATAATTGTTTGTTACGGCTTGCATATTTTAAGAATGATTTTAAAGAAATGCTTCAGATATCATCAGAGTAACATTTCTCCTATTCATTAAAATATTCCTTTTTATTTTGGCTTCCACATGAATTTGAAAGAGATGTAGCTATTATTTAGAACTACCTTAACTTCCGAAACTCAGCTTCTTAGGATAGTGTGAAAGACACTAATTACACATAGAAAAAGTTCAAAAGTGGCAAGTTTTATGGTATGTTCAGTAGGGTTCATAACTCTAAAAACAGATGTGGCTGTCCTAATTATTATAGACAACTACTGCATTCACATTCCCATGTGTTCTGAATTGTTGCACAATCATAATGCTCAGTGATGTTATGCTTTTTAAAGGAGAAAATTGAATCCCATTGGCCATGTTTGCTTATATTAAACTTTTCAGATCTTAGCTTTTATTTAGTGTTTCAAGTCAATGTAAAGAATGATCCTACAAAAGAAAGTGAAAAATATCATTTAGTAATATTAAGATAATCTTTGAATATATGAGAGTTGAATTGCGCATGTTCAGTGTATATTGTTATCATCTTCATTGACTGTTGTGTTATGTGTTATACTTTTTTGGTGTTGTGGAGCAATTAAAATTATTGTTTTATGCTACCCAATTTACTATAATTAAACAAAAGTAAAAAGAAATCAATTTTCTCTTTCAACAGAAATTTCAGAATCTGAAAAAGAAAAACCTTGACATGAAAAATCAAGAAAAATGTCAAAGATATAGGAGACAAAAGAGAAAACGTTCTCAAAAAGGTGGTTTGTTTCTAGTTGTTAAAATATATAGAACACTACAATAAAATTCCCAAATAATTTTGTGTTAGGATTAGGTAATATTATAATCACCTTATTGATTTTATGTTATTTGGTTGTTATCTAGTAGATTTACTGTACATTTATATTTCCTGTATTTTTGTTCATATAAATATTTACCTAATTCCAGGTTCTTGGGCTTTGGCATTTTTTCTAAACCACAGCCTACTTGCAGTAGAACAAAGCATGATGGAATTTGTGAGAACTTTTTCTAAACTCTTTTTGATAAGGCAAGAGAAGTCATTTATCACAGAAAATACTCACATGCATGAAATAGATTTATACATTTTTGTTCATTTATGTAATAATTTTTGCATGTTGTATTACAGATGGATATCTTGTAATATGTTATATTATGGAAGTATGCTGAAAGAGAACAAATGTCAGTGTCTACACTGCAATTTTATAAATTTCACGTTAATTACATCTTAGACATTCTTTTCTGTGTTTTAATAGTTAGACCATATAGAATTTTAAAAATGACTTTCTCAGTTATTTTTGATTTAATATTTGATTTATTTATATGCAGTGCTGTGAATCTAGTAATCTAGTTATTCTAGAGGCTGAGGTTGGTAGATCACTTGAGCTCAGTGTTCTGGGCTACAGTGGACTATGCAGTTTGGGTAATCATATATTTATATTGTATGCAAATTAGTCTGAAACTTTGTACTAGAAATTTATTAGGCTGATTTGTCTCTGTAATTCTGTTTTGTAATAATACTATCTTTGGTAATATCTATACAGTGCTTAGGTAGGAAAGTTGTAATAAGTGATTATGACTGAAAATATATATCTTCAGCGGTTAATGACCAGTTCCCTGATAGTACCTTTGCCTTTAAAGGGTTTACCTCATTCACACACACCTTTTCCCAGTTATGAAGTATTCTTTTGACTGTATCTTTTATTTACATTTATTTGGCCAAGTAAATCTTATGAGGAGGCTTGATTAACTAAAGCACCAGAAATAACTTTTCTACACATTGTTTGGCAGTAGGTGCAAAGGCAATGTATAATGAAACTGATTCTGCCATCCAATCCCAACCTTCAAAATGAAACAAAACCTACTTCTGGTTGTATCACTCACTGTCTTGAAATCTTCAGCCATCCTGATAAATTTCTCAGATTTCTATAATAGCTAAAGGTGGTCCTTCCACCACTAGCTTAATATCCACATATAGCATAACATACTATTCTTCAGAGCATATAAGCTTTAACCTCTAAACATAGGTATCAGTACATATTTGTGTTTAGTACTGTGGAAGTAAACTCTGTCTAAGCTGGGATTAAATTTTAAAATTTGGTTTTCACTGTTAATTATATCTCAAACATCACTAATTTCATCATGTTTATTAGTGCATCAGAATTAAGTCCTAAAACATTTGTATTAGTTTATGAGAAATTTTTCATACTAAATTGTAGAGTTTTATTTTTTTAGGTAAAATGAAAAGCAGTGAAGAAATAACTGAAAGGTATTTCAAACTATGACATGATTATTTAAAATTTATTTGTACATATTTGAAATGTTCAGCTCCTTCTCACTCTCCGTGAGTGATTCAGCAATGGATTTTTGTACAGAAGTGATCCTTTCAAGAAATTTTACTTGAAAAAGTAGTAATTCTGCCTGTCTGCTAAAGAATAGATATGGACAGTTTTATTTTCATAAAATAGGTATATTCTATATCAAATATACAAATGTAAATAAAATTGAATTATGTTACAGTCACAAAATAGAAAAATATACAGTTTCTGTAAAATACATACATAAGCCAAACATAAAATTATTAATTTTAATGTTTTGTATTAATATATTATATATTTATATATGTGACTATTTTCTTGTGATAGGATCTTGCCCATCCCTTTGTTCTTTTTTCCTTTCTTTGTAGCCAAGAGTCTGTAAAAGAAAAGCACTTCAAAGAGCTCACTCAATATTTTGGAATCAATGATAGGTTTAAACCACTGGAAAGCAAAGAAACTGCTCAAAAGGTAATTGCTAGATTTTTTAAAAAAATGATTTAAGCTTGCATTTCATTTGCAATTCATTTCACTGCACTGCAATGAAATATATTTATTATTTATTAAATTTATATGTTGCCCATCTCACTATCAAGAGATCCTGGGCAACTTAACAATATCAGAATTAAAAATTAGAAGGTTTAATATATAGTAAAACAATAGGTATTAAGAATTAAAATATTAAAATTAACAGCAAACTATATAAAAAGTACCAATGTGTAAATGAGGTAAGGTCGAATGTTATACATATGTATTCCTACACAGAGACACACAGAATCCATGTAACCTAGCAGCCATCAATTCACAGGTCTGCAAAAACAATTTTTTCGAGAGTTGTTTTGGTTATTCCATGTAATCTTTATGTTTTTTGGTGTGCTGAATCCGAAAATGACCTCCATTCTGTCATAGGACATCACGTTTCCTAACAATTTAGGTAACTGTGCTAAATAAGGCAATACCTCAAAATAAATGGAAATAGACTTATAAAATTAAAGTTTTATTACAATATTTTCATAAAAATCCTTTTTTGAACTGAAATGAGCTCACCTACACACACTAAACTCGATTCTTCTTCCTTTTGAGGCTCCTCTTGGTGCATTTACGTTTATGAGTA